GGATTGATACACAGGATCGAGGCTTTTGCCCAAGTTTCCCGGGTCGGTTTTGTTCTTGTCGGTCAGTGGCTGTCGTTCGCCTGAAAGGCACAAGTGAAAAAAGGGTGTAGCACTGCTCTTTATGTTCTCAGCGCGGGCCAGTATGCTTGCCAGCGCGAGGATTCGCATAAATAAGTGTCTAATAGTGCTATAAACAGGGTTCTAGAAGGAGTGCGAACAACCGTTAGAGGAAAGTCACCCCACGCAGCTACTACCGGAAATGAGAAAAAATTTGCCCTATTAGTGTGTGCGCACTGCGCACTGGGGAAAATATCTTGTGAACAAACAAAAATATCCCATTGGCTAAATCTGACGTATCTAAAGGAAACGACAGCCACTGAACGACAAGAACAAAACCGACCCGAGAAACTTGGGCAAAAGCCTCGATCCTGTGTATCAATCCTTGAATCCCTTATGACGATTGGCTGTTGGGTTCACACCTTCGATCAATCAAACCTCGCCTGGAATTTGGACTGACAGGCGACCCGTAATTTGACCAATCGCGTGCGGGATGGGCTGTTTAGTCGTGGCGGCGAACGGTGAAAAGGTATCGATGCGGGATTCCATCCGAAATGTGCAACAAAACAGCCCTTCGGATCCACGGGTATACCGCTTTGGTGCCATAGGTGTCTCAAATTAGCAAACGCGGCCCGTGCGCCCAGATCCGTGCACTGACCTTGTGCCACATCACAATCAAAACTAATGCAACCCCCAAGATACGTAAAACGCCCCACAACTTCGAGTGCCTCCTGGATTATAAGTTGCGTGGTCGGGGACTGCATGTGTAGGAACATTACCCTACATCTTGCGGGTGCAAAGTGCCTTGGTCAGTTCATCCAAGGGATAAGAATGATGTAGATTTCATGTACCAGATCAACGAGGTTTACGTCAGGAGCTATCTGCACGAAATCAAATAGAAATGGGGAGAGTGGCCGTCTTTGACGGACGCCGCTTCGCGTACACACGCTTTTTAAGAGCTCTCCGGACGCTCTCACAAGTCCGTAAGCTTGAGAACACAAGGAGCTTATCATGTTCACAAAAGTCCCGAGCATTGCCTGATGGAAAAGTGTGTCAGGAGAGGAGACCAGTCAACCGAGTCGGATGCGCCTTGGAAATCCGGAAGTACTAGACTTGTGGGCCGCTTATACGTGTAACATTGTTCTAGCACCTGAGGAAGTGTAAAGACTTGGTCAACGAAATCCCTACCAGGCCGGAATACCGCTTGCTATTCTCGAGTCAGTTTCTCACCAACCACCATAAGGCGACGAAACAACTGATGATGACTGGGGGTCAAGCTGATCTCCCTGTTGTTGCCATGCTCACTGCGAGCCTATTTTTGAAAACGAGCACTATCACCGACTATCTCTTATTGCCCGGGACACTCCTTTTCCCAAATGCAGGCAAACAGGTCAGACAAGCACTGACTAAGGATTTCAAACGCATCTTTGGACAATGCGGGTGACAGTTCATCCGGGCCAGAAGCTCAGTGGCGCTTGAGGGCGACATATGCAGTCATAAACCTTCAAGGTCGTAAGGGGTTCCATGTTCACTCTCCAGGATTCTGCGTCAGCTGTGGGCTCCAGACGTGTGCCAGCTGGTGGTCTCGATAACTTGTTCGAAGTATTCGGCCTAACGGTCGAGACGTTCTTTTTTCAACATGGTCACTCCATTCTGGCCCTTCATGGTTTCCGGGGGCCAGTCAGAAAGTTGAACTGAAATAATCTTCGGGGACTACCGGCTTTCTGGGCCTCTCTTATTTAGCCTTTCGTGTCCACCACACTTCACGGTCGGTTAGCACACTCACTTTCACTTGACATCTTATAATTCCTCGCGTCAGGTTATGTGCGGGACTGGAGAGGAAATATCTCCGAAATTTAAGCAGTGCCACTGGTTCGCACTGATATCCAGTGCTTGAGTGTATCTGGTAGCACCGTGTCACAGGCATTGTGCAAAGAGGGCGATCTCGTTCCAGTGTGAATTTATATCTGATGGTAGAGCAGTTGGAACAGACTCTAGAAGACGTTTTGGGTAAATTCGTCCAACGTGCGGATCTGCCAGTCTCTTAGTTGCCAAACAATTGATCCCCACTCTACGGTACCCTAGAAAACGAAGGGAGAAGCGGCTCCGGATGAGCGCGTGGTCTGGTCAACGAATGTGTTTCAAAACGAGTGGCAGTCATTTGTTGGTCTACGCCATCGGTAATAGATGGTCATGTGATCGATTTGAGTTCGTAGCCGGTACGCCGTTGTAGTTCACCTTGTGACCATACGGCTTCGACTATTTCGAAAGTTTGTACTGCGTAAAAACTGCTTGTGGTCTGCACAAGCTGAAGTAATCGTTCATCATTGTCCGTCCGTACCGAGTCCAATTCCTTTCGACCTGTGCTAAGCCTGCCCACTTGTGTGTTAATATATCCGGCAACCACAACGATGCATGAGCTTTTAGGTTTTTTCAACTGGACATTGAAGGTGCCATAAAACTTCTTGATGATATCAGAATCACGGTTGGTTTGGGCGCACGCAGACACAACAAACCGATAGCGGTCAACCTCCCGCTTGTGATACTTCTTCACAGACGTTGCCAGGCGAACCGCACAGAGGTGGCTATCCACGTGTATCCAGTCAAGCAAGGATCCTTCCGGTCAGTGTTTTAGGATGATACCCACCACTGCAGATTCTACCGCGGTGGCCTTTGGACCGCCAAAGGTGCGCAGCCGGATGCAGTTGGAAAATGGTGAAGCGTTAGTTCAGCTACTGTGCCTACGTCATGAATTCTTGTTTCTGACACACAGAACACAATGCCAAGTGAGTCCCGTCTGAGAGCAAGAGCAGCTCGTTGTCCTACTTGCCTCAGAGTACGGTCATTGAAGACAGCCACATAGACTGGGTGTCGAGGCTTGGAGATTGGTTTCGAGATACCTGAGAATGTCTGCGTTGTCTGTTGCTTATAAAACCGATGCAGGACAAACGGGTTTGTCAGTCGTAACTGCAAGTCCTACAAGGTGTACGGCAGGCAAGGCGACCGAATTGATGGCATCGCGCTAATGCCGATGTGATATGAATTTATCTGTCTGTTTGAAATTCACGGTTGTACGTGAGCTGAGATACTACCAGGGCATCCACACGTAAATCGGATCTTTCTTTTTTCAAATTCAATGGCGTCTCAATAATCCATTTCGGCACTGAGTCCATGTTATCCAGGTACCCTGAGAATTTCGTCCGGCTTTGTCCTGTAGAGTCGAGAGCACTGTCGGTCTTATTGGTCGTTCCTGTTGCGAGTCGAGTAGTTCCAGGACGGGATTAGAAAGGAGACAGAATAGGAAGACGTAATGTACGCTTTAATCGTCTAATAACTGTAGTACATGAGCTGAAAATAGAGTGAGAATCACGAGTTAATGGGTTATGCAAA